CCAAAATGAAAATCTATCTGAGGGCTGCGGACAAATGTAATAATATAATTCATGAAATACAAATACTTCTTAAGTACAGTTCTTTTATTTGAATGATTCTGTCCTGCTGGAGTGTAACATGATTTGTTTGTATACAAACTAATACGCTATCAGAGTTTTATATATTTATACTTCTCATTCAACCACAATTTCACTTGTTCTAGGAGGCACAATATATTTTTACAAGGTGGAACGAAAACAAGCAAAAATGAAATAAAAGTAACGACTTTCTACTTCTTGACTTTTTTAATCTAAGGAGTAGAAAGTAAAGATAATTGTGTGAAAATGTAAGAAGTAGAAGTAAACAATAGGCTGAAAAACTATTACTCAAGTAAAGTGCAGATACCCAAAAATTCTACTTAAGTACAGTAACAAAGTATTTGTACTTAGTTACYTTACAACTCTGTTTTTTGTGCACCATTAATGTGCTGCATTTGAGAGGGAAAAACTTTAAAAGTTTAATATGTTAATATACATTTTTAACRAAACAATTTTATGATACTCTCATGKTTTTTTTTTGGGAAGGGCTAATTTGAGTTTTATTCAATCCTGGTAATATAACTCAGCTATACCAATTAGCTATTTCTCTTGTTTTTAATCCTTATCTGTGTTATTGTTTATAGAAATTAAAGCTATGTTTTGTTTGTTGCAAGCAAAGCCACATTTTTTCAGAATCACTCATTTATTTCCATCAATATCTGGTGATTTAAATAGTTTAGGTTTTGGTTTGGTCTTGCTCCTGTTTGAAATGTAAGTTTTTTGGGGGGGTAGTCGACTTGTGAACAAAAAGTCACAGGTTTGCTTGTCTTAATGCCCGTATGTTGTGTCCTTGAGCAAGACGTCTACTCCCTAACTCCTCGCATGTAATTGTTTACAATTTAAAGGGGCAAAACTGCCTCCACCTGGACAAAACAAGGGGACGTTGAACCCCCGCTTGCATTCACTACATACACATAACACAACACGGGTCAGGTGATGGGGACATGACCCTCTATGAACAATATAGAGCCAATCAAGCCTATTGTTAGTCGATGGCCCTCTTTTGCATAATGTCTAACCTGTTTGTCCATGTGGAGGCGGAGCTTATAAGGCTGGGTTCACCTGAAACTCATCAGACTGAAGAAGTCTCTTGGAGGAGAGATGAAATGTTTCTCTAAAGAAGAACCCATCCAGAGGACCTACTTATTTTTTCTTTTTGATTTTTTTCTACCTGGATTACTGAGATGCATCAGGACGTATGAAACAAACCTTATTTAATACAATTCCGTAAGTCAAATATAACAATAAAAGCATCATTTTAATGTTTCTCTGCAACATAGAGTGCTAATCATAATAAATATCTGATTCCAAAGAAGAAGTGTTTCCTGTGAGCTCAAGATCAGTGACAATGTTTATGTAAGAACAAATGTTTTAAACATCAGTAAAATGCAGCAGTGGCTTCAAAGAAACCATGAACTCAGTCAGCATCTGAAGCTGAACCCAGAGGAGGATCTCTGCAGAAACCTTTGTGACTCCACAAAGAAACATCCAGATATTGTCTCAAAACCTTCGGGTCAGACTACATAAGATACATCAGACTTTTATTTGCACAAAGTGAAAACCTTATTTTTACACTAACACTGTAGAGAATAACATGTAAACAAACAGCGGAAATTACTGGAAACTATTTTAAGATAAGATTAAAACAGTTTGTTTGGTTTAAATAAATGTTTGTAATACAAACGATATGGAAACTCTTGGGACTTGAATCATTTTACCAGATTTACACATGACCCTATTAGTATAAACTTTCTCAGTGAAACTTATGGAAACCAGTTTCTAAACCAGAGCACAGTGACAAAATAAGAGCTTTTTAACCCCCTACATAAATCACTATGCTGTAAAATTAAATTCATACATTTATATGGAAGAGGATTAGGGCCACTGAAAAATAAAAACAGGAATTCTGACTTTACTTACTTACTTACTTACTTACTTACTTACTTACTTACTTACTTACTTACTTACTTACTTACTTACTTATTCTGAGAAAAACAGTCAGAATTCTAAGA